CTCGCGGCCGCCGTAGGGCGCGCAGCGATGGCGGCGCGGGAGGGTTCGCTGGTGGCGGCCGTGCTGGCGCGCTCGGGCCGGCTCGACAAGGAGCATCTGGGAGCCCGCGTGGGGCGCCTCTCTCGCCGCGTCGAGGAGCTCAAGGCAAGGGACGGCAGCGGCGGAGGGACGGGGAACGGAGGGGGCGCGGGGAGAGACGCGGGGCCGGCGCTGCGGCGGAGCCGGTCAGGACTGGGTGCCCAGCCCTGGGTCAGCTCGAGTGTCCAGCCCTGCTTTGGACCGGGTGTGCAGCCCAGATCAGCTGGATCAGGGTGCCCAGCCCTGGTTCAGCCCCAGGAATCCAGCCCAGGTCAGCTGGATCAGGGTGCCCAGCCCTGGTTCTGCCCCAGGAGCCCAGCCCTGCTCCATCCCGGCTGCCCCGGCCCTGTCCCTCTGCCCCCGGGGTGACGCTGTCCTGCTGCTCGCTGTCCTCAGGGAGAGGTGTGCACCATGATCAACAAGAAGTACAGCGAGTTCCTGCCCAGCATGCAGAGCGCAGAGGACCTGGTGGCACAGGTGGAGGGGCTGGCCAACAACATCGACATGCTCAAGGCGGGCATCGAGAACGAGGTGACTCCCAGGGGACATTCCGCTCCATTTCATCCCAAATCCGGAGTGATTCTGTGACTAAGATCCCTGGGTGCTATCAGCCCTAAAGAATGCCTTGTGGTGGCACCAGGGTGTACATTAAGAGCTGCCATTAAGGGATTGTCACTCATGTGGGTTGAAAAATGTGTCACACTGTCCTTCAGAGAGAGGGACCAGCCTTGGCTGTGGCAGGGGGTGTAACACAGGAATAAAAAGGATGGAGTTTTTTTCTTTCTTACCAAATTATTCTACGAACAGAAATAAATGATAAATGAAATTTAAGAAGAGCTAACAAATGCTGTCAATGAACTGAAAAATGTTGTTATTTTAGGTTCAGCGAGATCTAAACGTTGCTGTTGCAGAGTTCACAGAGCTGAAGCAGCAGCTGGAGAGGGACACGCTGGTCCTGAGCATCCTGAAAAAGCTGCAGGAGGTGAGGAGGGGGAGCAAAAGCATCCTGCTCCTCAGTGTGAGACATTATTCTGTTTTGGATGAATGCCTGTGGCTGACAGGTTTGG